GCCACCTTAATGAAAAGGATATTTAGCCGAGCACCGATATCATACAGCACTCAAAGATTTAACGTTGCTTTGAAACACAAGAATGAGGAAACCTTTCGAAAATACGTCCAAAGAAAAAAAGCATATACCTGGTGAAGTATGTAGCCGAATATCCATATAGCATACACTAAGTTATTAAATTTACCAGTATCTAGCTTGAAATATGGCGTGAAATACACTAGAGCGGCAAATATCCCTCCAACGAATAACCTTCAAAGAGACAAAAATTATAATTAATTTGGAGCATTCGAAAAATAACAGAGGTGATTCATGATTCCAAACGTCAAACTAGATTTAGTATTACCTGTATGGATATGCAAGCAGGAAAATGTTCAACGGTCTTGGCCCTGCCGTCCACTTCCCAATCATCCACGGAAGTAAAATCTACAATACATCAAGAAAATATGGTACAAATTCATCCAGGCAGTGCCGGATAAGGCTGGTGTCAGAGTCCGCGATCCGTCGCGCGACGGATCACAGAAATCACAAGTGCCCCGATCAATACTGCGAGGTGCTCTCCAATCCCGCCGCCATTTCTGCTTGATGGTGATGGTTGAATGACGACTGTTCATGATTCTACTTGTTTCATATTCAGTGTTTCAAATGTTCAAATGGGGCACTTGCGATTTTTGCGATTCGCGCGAATCGCGCGACGGATCGCGGACTCTGACACCAGCCTAAGACTTAAAAAGAAATTAAGAAGTAAAACGTACCTGCAGTGGTGTTAAAAATAGGCCAAAACTAGCTAGCCTATCTTTTGGCATGCCCATACCAATTAATTTCAGACCAGTAATACCATCGGTAGCAGCGAAGGCGACCTACAGTTTCTATTATGTACGAGACCTTTCATTTGCAAAGATGACACGTCAAATCAATTGAATAAACGATACCTTTCCTGTAAGCAGAATAAACAGCATGATAAGCATGGGCTTTCAATTTGAGGATCCTCCACAACACGCTGTAAGTTTCTACGATCCCAAGTTCCAGCTCTTCCTCGCCATCGTTTCCGCCTCCCCTGTGAAATTTATGAATATAAAACAAAAACTACAGCCATCGCAAAGCAAGACAAGAACACTGCACTTACGACGAATTGGCAACGGAATTGTCCACTTCCTTTTTGAAAATCAGCACTAAGGTTGTTGAAACGATGAAGACCCAACCCCAAAAGAACACAAAACCTATAAGTTAAACAGGGATAGGCGAAGATGTCAACGGAGAACAATCTACATTGGCATTTTATAACCCAATCCATTGTAAAATCCAATGCCAAGCAATGTACCACCGCCCACTAACCTGCTAAATCGATTATTCCATACGGTTTTTGGTTATCGGCAGAGCGAATGAATGTGTTTGCAAAATCTGCTGATTCCAATGACAAAAATACTACATTACCAAGGAAATAACCAGCAGTCTGACCAACCGCATTGCAAGTGGAGGCATAACCCACATTTTTCCTGAAAACGAGTTTGAGATCATAACAACTACACAGCAGTGCAGAAAGAGAAGGGAACAGTGGGAGGAAAGAACAGTAGTCAAAAGTAAAAATAAAGGAAAATAGGCCAACAGAAAAACCACCTTGACAGAATCGTTAAAGCCCAACCATCTACAGCGATATCCTGAGTTGCAGCGAGAAAATTCAGTGGTAAGAATATCAACATGAGAAATAGCACATTAGGTGCAGCATCTAAACATAAAGATTTCACAATCTAGAAATGAAGTAATGACCTGGAGTTTAATGAGGTTGAGTTGTTAGAGCTGCAGAAACCTTTAACACGATACTGAAAAGTTGGAGTACCCCTAGGGAGGCCGTCGCGCGACAAGAAGGCGAGTCAGCGGACGAGTTCCGCGCGTACTGTAGGGATTTCGCGTCAAGTTAAATAGAATGTTCCATTGTACGTCTACACATCGCTCACGCGCTGCGACTCGTCCGCGACTCTGCCTTCTTGCCGCGCGACGGGCCTCCTGGTGGTGGTACCCGTAAAAGTTGCGCTGATCCAAAGAAGTAAAGGTTAGAGATTAACATCGAGAACCTCTTTGTCCCACCAACTACGCGATCTTTTTCATGTGGAGCAGTAACCACAGGAAAAGACTTCTGAGAATATGAGGGAAGGGAATTATTAGCTGGTAAGAACAAAAAGGCGCCCCTTTATACAGAGACGTGAAGTGGCTATGGACTTGCATTGCTGATCCTCGGACGTCAATGGGGCAGAGTCAACCCTGCGTTGCGCAGTTCTCAACGGCCACGTTGCGCAGTTTCGCCCGATTAGACACGTTCTCTCGCGCGAACATTCACACTCGCATGCTCGAGCCGTCTGTGTCTCCGCCCATACAGCGTGCGTTGAGGATCTCTCAACGTGCCGTTGCGAACTGCGCAACGCAGGGTTGACTCTGATTGGGCGTATTCTCAGCGTTTCAAAGGGCTGAGTTTAGTAGTCAGTCGAACAGACGATCGGATGGGAAAGATTGAGGTTTGTCGCAGAGACAAACTCAGCAGAGATCGCACCTTTGATTTTGCCGTTGTGTTTCCTTGTTACTGTTCTGTTTGTTATATTTCGCTCATAATACCTCTCCTGCAAAAAACCGCCAATAAGGGAAACTACGCCAACGATCGAAGATCAGGGACGCTGCCGTTTTCGCCAAGGAATCGAAGATAAGGTGGGCCGGACACGTCATGCGATTTGCGATGACCGTTGGACCAGAGCGGTTACCGACTGGATCCCTCGGGACGTCAAACGAACACCTGGACGACCGCCGGCCCGATGGTCAGACTTCTTCACGAAAGCTCTGAACGAAAGGAATGAAGGACATCGTGTCCCTCGAGCGAGGAGGGTCCACTGGACAACTCTTGCACGCGACAGGGACGAATGGAGACGTTGCTGGCGCCCGCTCGAGCAATTCGATGATCAACGGGACGACAGGTGATACAGGTGATACCCTCCCCAACAGTTCAGATACGGGTCCATGACAGAGAATAAAAATATTCACCCAAACGTTTTACAATCAGCAGATCAACTGTGCTCACCTGTTTCCTCACCCAATCACTACGGGAAACTCGAGATAAGTACGAGCATGAATAATCCTATGAGGTACTGACACGGAACCATCCAAGATTTTCGTCGTCCAATCCGTCGCCAATACACTGAGTCGACTATTGGCGCCCATAACAATTTCATACTAAAAAGGAAATCTAAACAACCATACAACACACATAACAGTGAAATTCAAAACCATTCACAAACCTGAACGGCCAATATGCAAAAGAGAACACCGCTTGTTGGCCATAAGAAACATGTTTGCTTTGTAACAGTAAAGGGATTGCCGCTATTAGGCCAAGAGGAACACCCTAGAATAAAGATGATCTGAAGCATTCCATCAGGCCGTGTCAGACTTTGCGAATCGCGCGATTCGCAAAGTCTGACATCGGCCTTGAAGGAGTGACCTCTTCATTGAATAACTCGCCGCCGACCTGCTGTGAAAATTTCACTCCTACTTCATTCTTTGCTACAGGCTAGCTTTTAAATTAAACAACAACGCACCAACTTTTAAGTAAACGACAATGATAAGTCCAAAGGGAAAGAAGAGCACTATTATAACGAAATTATGAATCAATGCCCTACCTGTAACAAGTAGAGAAACAGCAGTAAACATATTGAAGAGATGTCCCCTCTCAGCGTTTCCCGTGTGCGACTGAACCAGCTCCCGCCCGAGTCGACGGACTGAAATTTGAAACGATTAATAGCGGAATCCCGCAAAAAGCTGAATAAAGTAAAATTGACTTCAAAGAACGTGAGCGCGCGGGGCACCTCTATACGTTATCTATGTCATTAGTACAGCTTCATAACTGACGATGTCTTTATGAATGAGTCTTTCTTCGTCATCGCTCTTATCGGCTGGATGATAAAACATCGGCGCATGAGGGCCGGCATCTGACGATGAGAAATCCGGCTCTTTTGCCATCACATCTTCGCTGGTACGTAGTTGTCCGTGATTCCTCCGTCTCACCCGCTTCGCCATAGCTAGAATTTGAGCGCTCACCAGAACACTGTCATCGATGCAGACTTACTCTACTAGAAGAACAAAAGCAAGAAACACATGGTTAAACAGAAGCGAGAGGCGAAGACATATACAGAGGTTAGCCACATAGATCGGTATATCTGAGCTGATTTGGAAACTGAACTACAGTAAAAATCACGGGTCTTGGGAACACTAGCACGTGAGTTATTGTTACTTTTGCTTAACACGTTGACGACCGCGCTATTTTTCGCTGTCTGGCGTGTGGGACCGCGCGCATTATTTTGACCGCGCGAGTGTGACATGACATCATGTCACACGGTCGTCAACGTGTTAATTCCTCAAAAGGTTACTATCAATCTTTGTTGAAGTTTCGACAAAATCGCCTTTCAAAGCCTGAAAGGATCGAAGCAATTTATGACTACCCAACCAAACGCCTCCACTACTCACTGAACTTCGAGATCGACAAGATCATCACGCAATCGTGAAGTGAACCACACACCGTATCTCAATCCGATTCTCGAGACCACCCAGAAGTGAAGCCAGCAGTGGCAGCTGTGGGAAAAGTAGCAATCCGGACTGATCATGATATGATCGAATTGCCCGAAGTCAGCCAATAAA